CATTTACACACCGGGAATTTATACCCTTGTCAGCCTAATATGGTGTACAACAAGCCCGGCCATAACTGAAACTATGACCAATTCAGTGATCAGTTTTAATTTGCACACACAGGGTCCACACACGGGAGAGAGCTACAAGTTTAGTAATAATATATTCAATTATTAAGATATTTTTTTACTATTCAAAGACTCGAAAACAACTGGTGACAACAACAACGACCGAAGATTTATAACAACGACGGAAAAGCGGCAATATTTTACCAACAGTGACAACCAGAGAGTCAGTGACCCATGGGTCCTCCGTTGTTGTCTCAGCAACTCTACCTGCGCCACTCATTATAAATAGACGCTAAGTGCTCAAGGAAGATGTCCGGGAGAAGTAATAATACATGAAGCACACCTTGTGACGCTCACATACAGTAGACCATGATACCAACAACCTCATTAATACGATAACATAACATTGTTTTCCTTGTGTCGTTATTATCAGTACCAATCTGTGTATGTATGATCGTGAACTGCATGAATGTACATTTTATACAGATATGTGAGAGCACGTTAAACCCCGAATTTACTGATGGTCACATTGGCGGGTCTAAGCACTTGTTATACATACTGTACACGGTGAAGGTCTCCCGACACCTGCCCTCGTTAGCCACACAACCTGGCACTCTCTGGTAATGAACCAAACATCATAATATGAGCATAAAATTCGGCCATAAATAGTGTATAAATAAGAAGATAAGGAAATAAACGAAGTATCTATTTTTTCTTTACATTGGCCTTTGCTTCGGATTACATAATTAAAAAAAATCTTGAACTGACGAGATAAGTGTAGTGGAGACGATGACGCGAGCTGGCAGTGATTTTACATTCCAAATATAAAATAAAGTGAGTTTAATATTACTGAGACATGACTTATAAAATCTCTAAAGTAAAGGTCATCATTAGTTCACGTCAACGATGTTCGTGCAGGAGAGATAAAACAGAAGACTTGTTCCTATGAGCCATTCTCCTGAGATGTGCTTGTTTCTCGGGCCTATTTCCTCTATAATAACAGGCATGTATATCAACACAGTAATAAAGCTACTACACATTAGACAGGGAATGTGAATCACAGACACTAAGGTACTGGCTAACAGCGCGTCATTAAGATTACCGTTACTGTGACCATTACAAGTAACTTTCCGCAAGAAATGGGACCACGTCACCATCTGGCCACAAACGTTTCACTTTTCCCTAGAGAGGGGGAGATGGAAGCTTTTACTTTCTCCCCTGAGATAATAAACTGCTCTCGTACATAAATCACAACACAAAACTATAACTTTCACCATCACTTATACTGTACATGTTGTGTCAAGTGTGGCGGCCCGTCCTCCCCACAGTGCAAGGTTTGTGTTCCCGACTTAACTCTCCCGTCGTTTCTTATTATTTGAAAACAAGAAAATAATCCAAGATACATAAACGAATATATAATGCCACGTGACTTTATAAACTACTATACATGGGTAAACCGCGTGACTCCAGAATCAAGAAACACAACTGGTAACTTGACCGCCTGTGGCTCACGTTGGTTGGGCTAACACTTCTCTTGAGCTGTCAACCTTGTCCATCAGATTCACAAAGTCACTCTTTTCTTTTTGGTATTGTACAACCTTATATAACGGTGATAAGTGAGAATATAATAACTCGCATAAAATATACCTATGATGATGAATGTTCGTCCTTCGTCCCTTACAGCCTATCTCAAACAGTCAAACGATTTAGCTCACCGCTATCAACAATGTCACGTGAACTAATGTATATGTCACCTAAACATTTCATAAACGTTAAATCTGTTGAAGTTTATATATTGTGACTTTCCGAACAACAAAAATCAATTTGCAGTTATGTGACACCATGTTGATCGCTTACCACTATAAATGTTTCTGGTAATTGGTCGACAGCCACGCTAGCTGTAAACACTGCCGTCCTGTGTATAGTCTGGCCGTAAACAATGAGTGTTTAAGTGTCAGCCGAGAAACTGGCAGCTAGTAACTGCACGTATCTCAATCTGGTCTCCATTCTACACATCATCGCTGGACGCTGGTAATGAAGTCCTCTAATTGTGTTGGCAGTATAAACAAAGACAACCTGAAAAGTTATCTGGAGTTTAGATAATAATAGAAGCATGTGGCCAATCAAGTTCAAATGCAATATATCGAACTCGAGTTGGGTTATTCATGGCCTATTAAGTGTCTCCTTATCAACAGAACTTTGTCTTTAATATGGGAAGTGAATGAGTACTTGGCTTAGCTGTGGGAGGACTCCATCACCACTACCAGAGGACTGTCAACATTGTGGCAGAGTTTTCATAAATCTTTCCTTGGCAAAATATAAAACGAACTTGAACTAGGGTAAATTAAACTACAGTAATTGTTTTCCGTAATGTAGCTTTCACGTTGTTGTTGTTTATTGACAATTGACTCCACGTTCATGTTAAAAAGATAATTTAATAGTTGATATTAAATAAAGTCAACATACGGCATTTGTGAACAACTAAATAGGTACCTGCAATTCCCTATTTAGATTTCTTCGGCATAACAACTGGTACTTGATACAATTAACTGTACGTCATATTACCAAATCAAAATCACTATCTATTTATGTTTGTACAGTATATTCCCATTCTGTATAACTAATTATATTACAACTTGCTTCAAAATGTGTGGTAATATTCGATAAACAACATGCACTATTAATACCTTGTGAACAACACTTGTATAACAACATCGGTCAGAATTAACGTTGTGAGTAAAGGCCTCGAGTGGTGCCCAAACTAGGAGTAAATTATCACACTGAGGTATTTTGACCTTTTTAGTGTGTTAATTCGGTACTCTGCCAAATATATAGGCAAGTACATAATGAGTACCCAACTACTGTGAGTGGGCACTGGAGTTTTAAGTTTTCAATGATATACGAGTACTTGTGAGTACAGTTTTTCCTGCTTCCTCCACTGAAAACTAAGAGCCAGAACAGGCTAAGCGTGTCATCTGTTGCAACAGTGGCACTCTCCCCCACCAAGCCTGTGGAACCAGAGTTGAGTGAACAATAAAACTTGAACAGTAAATATGTTTCCATCAATCCTTTAATCTCAGTTGATGATCCAGGTAGTTATTTTCAAATCAGGTGAGGTGGAGGCCATTATGAAGGTAGCCTTGTGAAAATTTGGTAATGACTACCGGTAGAGACCAGGTGTGTGAGGCTCCACTACTATGGCGGCAGGGCGCGGGGGAGTCACCAGGTGGTTGGCCACTCTGGTCAAACCTCTGATCAAAGACAAAACGGATGAGATTCTTGGCGAGATTATTTGGAGCGCCGAAAGGGTTATCCACCTTCGGTCTCGTCCATGCTTACTAAGTGACGCATCTCTGAGAGCATCGCGGGGTTGTGGCACCAGGTGGTTGGCCACTCTGGTCAAACCTCTGATCAAAGACAAAACGGGTGAGATTCTTGGCGAGATTATTTGGAGCGCCGAAAGGGTGTTCCACCTTCGGTCTCGTCCATGCTTACTAAGTGACGCATCTCTGAGAGCATCGATGTTGTGGCACATGGTGGGTGCCAGTGTGGCACTCCACCGACAGGACCATGGGCTCCCGGTGTTGCTGCTGCTGCTAGTAAAGATGTGCCACAATTCCGTTTTCGGTAGCGGGTCTGACTGCATACTTGCCAGCGAGGTGTGTGGGCCGGCGCCCAGGATAGTTGTCTGTGTAGTGTCATTTCGATTGCATTAATGACAGTCGACGCTCGTGTACACTATACACACTGTCCACTGTCTGGAGGTTCCAGTAGATGCTTTATACTGTACTTTCGGCGTAGACCATCAACAAGTGAATGTCGTTGCTATCATCGACTAACGTCACTAGAGGGCAAACTTCAATGATTATTGCTATTGCTGTTGGTAACGTTTACGGTTTTTCAACAGAGGGGTTTGGTTACCAGTCACTGCCACACCAACAGGCGACGATGGTACAGTCAGTATCTACACCCAACACCGCTGAGGCCGGCGTGGGAGTCTTAGCGGTTTCACTTCTTGGAGACGCGTTGGTGATGCTGAGAATTTATTGATGAATTTGCGGCACCACAGTAAAGGTAGCCAGAAGGTGTACGGTAAATGTACGGCAGTAGTCCTTCACATATTACCGTAGAAATGTGAAGACCAAACAGCCGCTCTAAAGATAGGAGCAGATACTGGCGTTGAGAGTAAGGGTGAGATATACTTGAGATGGACGCAGTTGTTCTGAAGTTTAAGGTTATTATATGACAATGGTCACAAGGGTTCAGGGTGGAGGGTGTTGTTGACAACTAATGAGTGTTGGTGTTGGCAGGAGAACCATACCAACCCGTCTGGTAGGTGAGTGCCACTGCACTAAGTAACGTACAGAAGGTGCGCCACATAGCAAAGGCTAACAATGGTCCGTTGAAATATACTTGAGGGACAGGAAGACCATTAATTATATCACAATGAAAGTTTCCGTGGAGCCACTCACGCCTGATAAACGATCACAGGGTATTAGATGAAGCTTCAAGAGGCCGGTAGGGAGCCTCCAGGATGACCAGCCGCGGGTGGATGGTAACAGCCAACATCTTTACGCCAGATGTGCTGACTTACACCACATTTTATATCATCATTCTCACAATCATTCCAGTGACAGATGAGGCCAGCTGTCTTGGCAGCAGGTAAACATTTGGCGAGTAGCTTGTCAACAGCGGAGGTTGCGTCGTACTCTCCACTCTAGACTGACCACTGTAACTACCTTCCAGTGCCCCACAGCGCTCTACACGAGTTCCACGGGGACGTTGTGTATATCAAACACTTTTAATAATTACAGACTTTCGACTAACTGCACGTAGAGTCTTGAAATACACATAAATTCCTAAGAAACATCTGCTTGGGCCGGCGGTACGTCACTATTTATACAACCAGGGGCTGGCGTGCCCATATCACTAGCTATGCTCACCTGTAGTCACCTGCTGGGAGAAACTCCACCCGTAGGTGCCGGCACTACAGTGGCACTATCGTAATGGGTGCCACCTACGATGATGTCTTAGGAGCCGGGTGAATTAGTGGCACCCAGGAAGTTATAAGAGGGCGGCACCCGGTCCTGGCGGCACGCACTAGCCTAACACACTGGCGCCCTGGCACCGGGACCCCTGGCTCCGGCACTCACACACTCACCCAGCCTCACTCACCGCCAGGGGCACCGGCCAACACCACCCACACACACACACACTCCACTTTCACCACCACCTCTACTATACCTACCTAACTGCCTCTCTCTCCCTCTCTACCTACCTATCTATGCCTTCTTTCTAATTATCGTCTTGTTTGTCTTCCTTAGTGTCTATTTGTCTCCGTAAATGTTCGTCTTCCTCTCTGTCCGTGTCACCGTCTCCTAGTCTCCGTCTCCTATTCTTTTTCACTATCTCACTCACCCTGTCTATGGAACACGCTACCTCTATGGAACAAACACTCTCTAACACTCTCCCTTTATTTATCCTCCTCACACTCTCCATGGCTCACTATCACCTGTCGATCCGTCGCCCACTCTCACTCCTTTTCTCCTCACTACCACAGAACAATCTGAACCTAAATTAAGAGGCCTCTCACCACAGTCACACTCTCACCCGCCTGTCTGCCTGCCAACTTTTCCCACACACACACACACACTCTTCCAGCCAAGACCTCCACCGCTCCCACACACACTCTTAATTAACACGCACTCTCAACCAACAACTCCTCCGCCTACACATAAACAAACTCTTCTAACCGCCAGTGACTTCGCTTTTTTCACTCACACCCACACACTCTTCCACCAGGACCCCCACACCCTTCTACCAGGACCACCTCTGACCCCCCACCCCCATCCCCCCCCACACACAGACTTCCTCCCTTTTTAGTACACTTTTACAGCCCAGAGGTAAAACATTAACTTTTATTCGGATAACTGCTGAATTTCATTACGTTTTGTTTACCTTATCAATAAAATACCGAATTTATCTGAAAAAATAAGAGTCGATTAAGCGAAATTGGTTTTGGCTCCTCTAAAATTTTCCTCGGGGAATAATTAAATAAAAATCTCAATTAACACCATCAACAAATTTGAGTTTTTCTTATTATATTCATTTGTTATTTACTTGGCGGTAGAAGAGACCAGCGTTAGAGCCAGATAAATAAAGGACGTCTGTGAGGCCCAATCACTCAACTATTTCTGTCTTGCACCTGACCCACCTACCCACCACCACTACCCACCACCAACACAACTACCCACCACCAACCCCACCACTAATCCCCCACCACCACGATGCTTGGGAACGTGTAAACTCACCCCGGATGTTAGGACACGCCCTGATTTACACCCAACATGTCACTAATGCTAAAGTTATATCCCTCTCCTCCGCCCCTTGTGTTATACTGAGCGGGTCTGGAAGGTCAGAGATTAATTTTGCGTGACTGAGTTTGAGTTTTTTTTTTTTTAGTTTAACAAATTTATTGACAAAGCTTGTAGTACAGTTCGCCTAATCTGAGTAATTCAGTCAGGTCTTGACACTGAGGGTGGTGTCACTTCTCACTGCCACGCAGGACAGAGGTTCATACACAAAGAAATACATCATATTCATTAACAGTATATATAGGTCAGATTCATGTGGGTGATGTCACTGTTCACTGCCATGAGTGAGGAGTATGAAACCACACGAGGAAATAATAATAATAATAATAATAATAATAATAATAATAATAATAATAATAATAATAATAATAATAAAAATAATAAATGAAAATAATTATCAACTGTTCACCATTATCCGTTCAAGTGTACAGTATGTAAATGATACGAGGGAAAAAAATAAATATTGAAAACTCGTTACATTAAAAAAAAATCACATACCATTTTAGGAGAACCACGAAACATCCTCTCTTAAATAAATAAGGGGAAAAAATATACATATTCTTCGTTATCTACTGAAATATACCTGAATATATTTTTCCTCCCAACAAACTTACATTATTATTTACTTACATAATTAACTGTGTATCTAAAATCTTCCTCTGCTTCTCTGACGATACTTGATGCTAGTCACTATCTAAACATTATTCAAGCTCCCTTTTCCAGTACATGACTTCCTGACCCGCCCAGTGCATGTCGCGGGGTGGCTCAGGGGTGTACTGAACGACCGCTGCCCGTACCTATATCGCGGAGCACCATGTTAAAATTATCAGTAAATTTCACCCAAAACTCAAGGTCGGTTACAAATAAAAGTCGGCGTAACCTCCAGCGAACAAGAATACGTTCTTCCGCCTCCCTCCTCTAAAACCTCTTCCTTCTTCCCTTCATCCTCCTTCCCTCCCTTCCCCTTCCTACTTCAACCCTCCATCTCTTCCCCTCTTCAACCCTCCTACCCTTCTCGTCGATGCCTTCCAACCCTTCTTCCCCTCTTCATTGCCTCCTCCTCTTCCCTTCTCTCCAACCCCCCTTCCCCTCCCCATCACATTCCAACCCCTCCTCTCCAGCCTATACCCTCCCCCTCCTTCTCAATCCCCCCCAAGACTCCAACCTTCTCCCCCCCCTCCTCCTCACCTCCTTCCTCTCCCTCCTCATTGCCGTCCTGGACCATGTGTGTACTGTCTACTCTCCACTATTGCAATGGAAATTTTTTACGAGCCCACTGAGTCATATGTTGTTGACAGGTACAGTGTGTGTCAGAGGCTAGTTGTGCCAGGTAGGAAATAGACAGGTGAATATGTATGTAATAATAATAATAATAATAATAATAATAATAATAATAATAATAATAATAATAATAATAATAGACGGTTTATTAATAGAGTTGCAGCTGGTGGCTGAAAATATTCAGACTTACATTTGATTTAGACATAATGATATAATATGCATTGAATACATTTACAGGGCTGTACAGTACATAAATCAGGCGTTGTTTATTATTTTAACAATAGATGGGATGGTGCTGTTCTTATATCTATCGGTGCGGGCTCTTATGGGCTGAATTTTGTTGTAGTGGCGGACTGCGCCAGGTGGGTGGGGGGGCTGCCGGTGGCAGGAGATGGCGATGACGAGGGTGGTGCATTAGTTGGCTGCCAAACCTTTCCAGTGCTTGGTGGTGGAGGTCACTGAGGGATGGCATTTCCAGGGTGGAGAGAGCGTTGGTATGTATGTATGTATGTATGTATGTATAAAATGCCAACCCTACAGATGTACCACCCCCGTGCTGCCAATCCCTGCAGTTGTACCACCCCAGTGCTGCCAATTCCTGCAGTTGCACGATCCCAGTGCTGCCAACCCCTGCATTTGTACCGCCCTCAGTGCTGCCAACCCCTGCAGTTGTACCACACCAGTTCTGCTAACCCCTGAAGTTGTAACGCCCCAGTGCTGCCAACCATTGCAGTTGTACCGCCCCCAGTGCTGCCAATCCCTGTAGTAGTACCCCTCCAGTGCTGCCAATCCCTGTAGTTGTACCCCTCCAGTGCTGTTAACCATTGCAGTTGTACCGTCCCCAGTGCTGCCAACCCCTGCAGTTGTACCACCCCCAGTGCTGCTAACCCCTGCAGTTGTACCGCCCCCAGTGCTACCAACCAGGCATGGGGTGATTAAGTTTCAAATTTAACTAGTTTAGTTAATTTTCATTTTTTCCAATTAAGTTAACCTGATTTTTTTAACATTAACTAATCAAGTTAAGATTTTTTCGAGTAAGTTAAGTTAACCAGTCTATGTCAAATTTGCTTTGGGGAATTTTCACGTGGATTAAATAATTCAATAACTTGTAAATTATTTCCAGAAGAGTCAATGAATACTGTATTTTGAGTACCTGAATAGTGAGGCAGTCTGACACACTACTCCCTTGATATGAATAAGTCTTGAGATAAAATAATTAAGAAATCTTGACTTTTTTAATTTTTACTCAACAGTTTTTCACATGTAAATAATTTTATTATTTCAGTATGCAAAACCAAGTTAGACTTTCTTACATAAACAATTATATCACGATAAGATAAGAATTCTGCATATCAAATAAATAATAATCACTGAAGGTTGAAACTCAAACTGTTTCATCACCTACTTATTATACCTTATTATGCTAAATATATTGGATACTCAAGGGCCGATGTCTTATATATTATTTGTTATTTTTTCTAAGAAGTTAATTGGAAATTAATCGAAGTTAATCAATTAATTTGAAAAAAAAATTATTAAGTTAAGTTATTTCAAAAGTTAACTAGTTAAGCTAAGTTAATTAATTGCCCCATGCCTGGTATAAGTATTATATTACCTTAGATATTAAATAAGGTTTTCACTTGGTTTATACAGTGAGTAGCTACCACTTTGTCCCGACCTGAGACAGTCTTCCCAGAGCGCCAGACGTCCAGCTTTTTTGTTAAATTTCTGGTTATCGTCTTTGTTAGTGTTTACTGTTATTGTTTACTCATGGACTTTCCCTCGTATGTCTCAACACTCAGAAAAATGCCAATGAAATACTTTGATCAGTAAAGGTAGAAACATACAGTAGTGTTGCAGAGTTGCGGGTGAGTCGAGCCACCGTCCAAGGCTCGAGTACTTGGAACCATTATTGACCTATTATGTTCATAAACGACATAGATATCGGCATAGACAGCAACATAAGTAAATTTGCTGATGACACTAAAATAGGACGTGTTATTAAATCTGACGAGGACTCGGCAAAACTACAGGAAGATCTAAACAAATTTTTCGAATGGTATGAAAAATGGCAGATGAAATTCAACGTCGACAAATGTAAGTACTCAGTATAGGAGATGTAAACAGGGAAACCAGATACCAGATGAACAACGATGCCATAGAGAAATCCGACTGCGAGAGAGATTTAGGAGTAATGATAAGTAGAAACCTTAAACCAAGTAAACAATGTGTTTTTGCTCGTAACAAGGCTAATAAAGTACTTGGGTTCATACAAAGGAGTGTTAGTTACAAGACTAGCGAGGTCATCCTAAAACTGTATCTTGCTCTTGTGAGACCACACCTGGACTACGCAGTTCAGTTCTGGTCACCGTATTACAGAATGGATATAGAATCCTTGGAAAGAATTCAGAGGAGAATGACAAGACTTATCCCGGGCATTAGGAACCTTGAGTATAGAGACAGGTTAAAGCATCTTAATTTGCACTCCCTCGAGAGACGTAGAGCGAGGGGCGACCTGATAGAGGTGTATAAGTGGAAGGCAGGGCTAAACAAAGGGGACATTACAAAGGTACTCAAACTATCCAACCAGGAGCGAAATCGTAACAATGGTTTTAAATTAGATAAATTTAGATTTAGGCGTGAAATAGGTAAACACTGGTTTGGAAACAGAGTAGTGGATGAATGGAACAAGTTACCAAATATCATTATTAACTCGAATACGCTGAATAACTTCAAACATAGGTTGGATGCTTATATGAGCAATAGGGGTTGGGTGTAAACGGACTGCCCAGTATGGGCCAATAGGCCCGCTGCAGTTTCCATTCTTATGTTCTTATCTGTGGCATCATGTCCAACTCCTCTATCTGGACTGTCAGGTGTAAATTACAAGCCTGGTATGATATG